ATTATATTAAGCTGTAAAATGGACCACTATAACCAACAGCACGACAGAGTGCGTAAATATTGGGCAAATGTCCCTGGTCAAAATGCTAAGGTTAATATCTGGGCAGTGCTCTTTGACATAATTTCAAATGCGATAAAGCTTTTTATATATTGTACTGTTGTAGGGTATCACATGGTCGGCCCCGCACGACTATAGCCTTTGCTTACTTGTTAAATATAAAATTTGTCTGCAGGGCAATGTGAACATTTTTTGGCTTATAATAATAAAAAAATCGCCATTGTACTTAACAAAACGCCAACTGCGATGGTACGAAAACGTTTTTCGCGGTTAAAAAGGAGTGCACCCCATTAAGCAGCATAGTCGTACATTTCATGTTTCCTGAAATTACAAAATGTGGAATACTTTATGTGTGTATGCAGTTTGCTTTCAATTTGAAAGGGATGTTGCTTTTTTCACGATTTTCTAGCGATTGCTAGAAGTGTTGAAAGATTAGGACATACAGCTAACAACTGTACATTCAGGGGAATGGTATGAAAGCATTCAAACTAAATAATTGAGATATTCTTCTCCACTTTAAAATTTAATAGTCCAAATTCCAAAAATGTATATCTTTGAAATTAAAATATTTTGTTGTTGTTGTATATTGTTGACATGTTATATTTATTTTACTTATTTGGCTAATTGCTAGGCTTAAGGTCATTAAAAAAAATCTATCTTTTTATTTTTGAATTTTTCTTTTTTTATTTCCTCCAGAAACCATCTTCAGGGATATTTTTAAAGTAAAAGCTCGTCTATTGAGTTTAAATATTAGTTTGATAGTGACATTTAAACTCAATAGACGAGCTTTTACTTTAAAAATATCCCTGAAGATGATTTCCGGAGGAAATCGAAATATTGGATGAATAAAAAAGGAAAAATTCAAAAATAAAAACAAATATTTTTTTAATAACCTTAAGCCAAGCAATTAACCAAATAATTAAAATAATTTATTAAAAAATTAGTTTTGTGTACATTTTTGGACATATAACTAACGCTTGTATTACGTACAAAAACAAATTTGTATGTGGTTGTTGGTGCGATTGTTGTACAACAACACTTGTTGTTACCTGTATTTTTCTACCATGGGATTCCCCAATATCGTAATTTTGTGAAAAAAAAATGTAATATATACAAAACCTATTGTTGTATGTTCAATAGTTTATTTGACACTATAATACTGCGGTGCAGAGTTGTATTTTCCTAGTTTCTTTGAAGTTTTGCAACCATTCTTATTTAGCAATGTCATAAACCACAATAAGATGAATATATTTATATACTAGCTGGACCGGTCCACGTTGCTGGTCCGGGTTATGGTCTTTTATGCTTATTTTTATACCCTCCACCATACTATGGAGGGTATATTAATTTTGTCATTCCGTTTGTAACTCCTCGAAATACTCACGTCAGACCCAACAAAGTATATATATTCTTGATCAGCGTAAAATTCTAAGACGATTTAGCCATGTCCGTCTGTCTGTCTGTTGTAATCACGCTATCTTTCGATAAAATTGAGATAGAAGGCTAAAATTTTGCACACATATTTTGCCAGTAGGCAGGTTAAGTTCGTAAATGGGTCATGTAGGTCCAAGTTTTCATATAGCCCCCATATAACGGTACCTCTCGATATTCGGTATTTTGATGATTTTAGCGACATTATTCACCGGAATTGTTTCAAATTTGGCATTTGAAGTTCGTAATGGATACTACAGCCTAAGACAGAAAATATCTGTGCAGGTCCACTTCTTCGTATAGCCCCCATATAACGGTACCCCCCGCTATTCGGTATTTTGATGATTTTAGCGACATTATTTAACGGAACCGTTCCATATTTGGTATTTGAATTTCGTAATAGATACTGCAGCAGAAAACAGAAAATGGGCCATGTAGGTCCACGTCTTCGTATAGCCCCCATATACCGTACCCCCCGATATTCGGTATTTTGATGATTTTAGCGACATTATTTACCGGGATTGTTTTCAATTTCGCATTTGAAGTTCGTAATGGATACTTCAGCCCATGCCAGAAAATTGTCTGTGCAGGTCCACGTCTTCGTATAGCCCCCATATAACGGTACCCCCTATATTCGGTATTTTGATGATTTTAGCTACATTATAAACAAATTTTTCTTCAAGTTTCGCATTTAAATGTTGTAATAACTTATGACAAAAGTTGCCTATGCAGGTATACGTCGTCGTATAGACATTCGGTATTTTTAAGATTTTAACAGAATTTTTAAAGGATTTTTTTTTTATTTTATTTATTTATTTATTTTATTTTTTTGGAAATTGCCAAATTTGTACCAAATGGTGGAGGGTACTAAAAGTTCGGCCCGGCCGAACTTACAGCTTTTTTACTTGTTTAAACATAATAATTTACAGATCTGGCTCATAAAGTGGCATAATTTTTATTATAAACAATGACAATGAGATCAGGTTAAAGGACGCGCGGTTGCCGTTTGGTAACCACTCCACTCGGAGACCTACTGGTCCATTGTGTTCATCGTAGTAAGAATAGTAAAAAAAAGGAAAGGGAGATAGAAGAGACTGAAGATAGAATTATAGAGTGTGATCTACGGCTCGTCTTTAGCCACTTCTTCTTCTGTGTCTCATGTTAATAAGTGCTGGGCAGTGGCAGAGCAAGTGTTCGACTGCCTCAATTTCTTCTTTATCTTGACAGATCCTACAGTAGTCAATATCATCGCTATCCCATTTCGAGGCTATTGCCCTTACCTTACAGTGACCTGTGATGATACCCACCACAAGTTTTAAATCAGGTTTCGACAAGGACAGTAGCGACTTTGTTCTCTTCTCGGGGAGTATGGGCCAGATTTTTTTGGAGATGGTAGAACCCCTTTCGTCCAGCCATTTTTGTTGGATTCTCTCAGAGTAGTGTCTGTGAATAACCTGTAGGAAGTGGCTCAGTGGTGGTTTAACCGAGTTCTCTACTTCAATGATTCGGATCCTAGCCTGACCAATTCGTCTGCAGTCTCGTTGCCTGGAATATTATAATGACCAGGAACCCAACAGAGCTTTATGGACAACCAAGTGTTTTCCAAGGCTCTTCTGCAGTTCAAAACAACCCTAGACTTAATGGTGTAGGAATTTAAGGCCTTCAGTGCCGCCTGACTATCGACGTATATCGTCACCGGACCGCTAACCTCACTATCCCTCTTGATAGTGGCTGTGGCTTTTTTGACCGCTAAGATTTCCGCCTGGAATACGCTACAGTCGTTTCCAAGTTTGTAGGATTCACGAACATTAAGGGTATCACAGAAGACACCAGCTCATGTTCCACATTCCATATTTGAGCCGTCGGTATAAATAGCTATTCCGCGGAAAGGTGGGCTGTTACGAGACCAGGCGTCCCTGTTAGGTATGTGTATGTCAGGTGGGTCAAAGCTCAACCGCTCAGTCACTTGTGTTGGTTACCACTCCCACATTCCTTACACGTCTTAAAATCGCAGAATTGAAAAAAAAATTGACTGCGCCATTCGTTTAGTTCTCTAAGTCGAAGAGCACACCTGATCGCCTGTTCCTCTACATGTATGCTTAGCCATGGCAAATACCCATGGCAAGAATTTTAATGAAAAATGTTGATTAAAAAACTTAATCCTATTTTTCAGCTATAGGCTTTAATTTAGTTTTGTCCCCCTCATAATTAAGGCAGAATGACTTGAGAATACATAGTTAATTACTCTTTTACATCTATTACCATAACACCACATAACGTGTATGTTTTTGTATGTCCGCTTATCCGCCAATCGGTAAATATCACTATCCTGGGAGGTACTGTTATGTGGTTACAATGCCAAAAAAATTACATATATTGACAATTTTCCGTAAGATGGTTCTCTACTCCAAAGTAGCCTAAATACACGTTTTTAGCCAAATCGATTGAAAAATGTGGTCGAGGCCATCGAAATTGGTAAAAATAATACTTTATTTGTTCACAAAAAATTAGAATTCAATATAAATCAAATTGAAAAAAATGTCGTACATAATAAAAAAAACTGACAAAAAAGAAAAAAAATAAATTCTTCAACTTGTTCGCGTATTTTTTACAGCTAATGTTTAAAGGTCCTTACAAGCTTTCCAATAGAATCGTTTTTAGAATTTTTACAATGATACTTTACTTTTGTTTTTTTAGCTATTTAAAATAGTAATTATCCTCATCATATCATCTATTCAGTTTCGCCGCCACAAAATTCGGTACTCCAATTCAATATAACCCGCCTGCAAAATTTCCGTTCCCAAAAAATCGAATCAAATTAATAAAATTATTCAAATAGAAAAAAAAAAACCGTTCGTAGACAATAAAATATTAATTTTTTTTCATATCGTAAGCTCGACGTATTTCTGTAAAAATCATATAAATACATGTATTTAACTTGTATTGCCGAGTTTTAGGTATCGCTGAAAAATAGAGGGCCTTTATTGAAAATATGCTGACAAGGTTATATCCTATAACAAATTAACGCGTCATAAAAACTAATTTTATAGGAAAATGCTTTTAAAACTTTCAAAATAAACTAAAAAATATTATATTGGATTTGAACCCAATAGTGAACATCTTTTAAACAGGAACAGGAGGTAGGGTATAATAGTGATCTGAAATCTAAGGTGAATAAAACTAAATACATTGCGGGATGGTGTTCTCACAGTTCTTAATTTTTAATTCAAAATTACAGCCCATTCGAATACAACTTATTGATTTGTGTCGTTACTGTCGACATTGAATTTTTAGATGTGCTATAGCTGTATCTTAAAAGTTTATTTGTAGCTACGTGGCTGAAAAAGGTTATTCGATCCTTAAAAATATCTATAATAACAATCCAATTGAATTTGTAGGATTTTGTTAAAAATATGCATTAAACAAGCTAGTAATTACATAATTTTATTTTATTTTTATATTCTTTTTGATTTATTAATTTTTTTGTATTCTCATAAATATTTTATTTGTAGAATTGAACAAAAATCCTGTTGAAGGATTTTCAGCTGGATTGATCGATGAAAATGATATATTCAGGTGGGAGGTGCTTATTATCGGACCTCCGGATACACTTTAGTAAGTACTCCAAAATATGATACTCTTTCCCTTATTAGTCAATAAATTCCTAGTCATACTGCAGATATGCGGCCGTTAATTGTATACTATAATAAAAATTGATTGGTTTATTTTACAGCGAAGGCGGATTTTTCAAGGCTCATTTATATTTCCCTAAAGAGTATCCCTTGCGCCCACCTCGCATGAAGTTCGTCACAGAAATTTGGCATCCAAATATCGAGAAAAATGGTGATGTTTGCATTTCAATTCTTCATGAACCTGGAGATGATAAGTGGGGATATGAAAAAGCTTCCGAACGTTGGTTACCAGTACACACAGTTGAGACAATTTTGATATCAGTGATATCAATGCTCGCTGATCCAAATGATGAGTCAGCAGCTAACGTAGACGCTGCAAAGGAATGGAGGGAATCTTATCCGGAATTTAAAAGGAAAGTAGCCCGTTGTGTCAGAAAGAGTCAGGAAGAATGCTCGTAGAACTTGCTTGTATTTGTATATTTATAATTCCGATTTGATACCAACCTATAAAGAGAGAAGAAACGAAAAGAAAAACAAAATAAATCTAATTTTCTTAATCCATTTTATTTTTGCATTGCAATTTAGAAAGCTCTTTAATGCATTATTTATTTCTATAAAATATACAGCGGTTTAAGTTTTGAAATTATGAATACTTCATTGCCAAGTTAGAAAAAAATATATCAAGAACACCTATTTCAATAAATCTGTTTTTTTTTTAATCCATTCAAAATATTTTTATTAATTTAGTCTGTCCCAGAACCTGCAAGAATCTACTAGTTTCGTAATTTTTGTCTATACCATAAATAGAGCATCGTTTATCGTAGTAAGCATTTTCCAGTTCTGGAACATACAAATTATATTTCGATCAAAGCTCAGGGAATACGAATAATTTGTAAGTTTCGTATAAGATATTTAATCTAATATCAGTAGTGGATTCTCCTACTTTTGCTGTATAGTCGCGTTGGTGAGTAGGTTTAGATATAAACCTCAACTGACCTGGTCCTGGAATGGAAAATATGCATTGTTATTCTATAAAGGTTGTAGTAACAGTGTGGCTGTAATGAATTCAAAGATTAAATATTGTATCTGATATAATTGCGTTAACCCCCAGTCTTTAAACTAATGTGTGTGCCAAAATTAGTATAGTCATAGATAAGTATATTTCTTACGACCATACTTGTTAGTATTTTGTGTTGTGTGTTTTATGCATATTAGTGTAATTGGAATTGTTCTGGTTTCAATTGATCAAATTAGAAAACAGAGTTGCGACATACTTTTTTATTAATCTATTTCGGGTTTTCTTAAAAGTAGCTTGTTTTAATTCCCGCTACAGTAAATTGTGTCATCTCAGTACGAGGGCGGGTCAAAACTTTTTAGCCTATCAGTGAAAGAGATATTTTTATTTTTCAATATTACAATATATTATCACACGATGCGATTGCACGTCAAGAAACTATCGCTTCAAGTAAGCATGCGTCTCTTGAAAAAAAACAAGAAGCAAAACAAATTTCCTCCAGGCATGGACCGATATGTCTTAGTAACAAAGCGAAAGGCTAGTTCTAGAACTCCAACCAAGGAACCAAAAGCTAAAACCCAAAAGTCTATAAACAATGACCGCAACAACAGATTCTCAATTCTCAGCTCGAAAAACGAGGCTGATGAAATGATACAACCGGTTAGATCCCAAAAACCTCCCCCACTATATCTTCGCGAAGAAACTACAAACAATCTTGTGAACAAACTCTCCCAAATATTGGGTAAACCTAATTTTCACGTGGTATCTCTTAAGAGAGGAAATCTCCAAGAGACGAAAATACAAACTTATACTGAGTCGCATTATAAGGACCTAGATCGTGCTCTGGATTCTGAGAAGAAGAATTATTACGCCTATCAGATCAAGAGCTCAAAAGAACTAGTCGTCGTCATTAAAGGGCTTCATAGTTCTACACCCATAGAGGACATAAAAGATGCTCTCGCAGCAGAAGGATTCGAAACAAAGTCTATCATCAACATTTTCAATAAAGACCTACAAGCTACAACCGTAGCACTATCTTCAACGAATACAGCTATATCTGCTATATATTGTCCTCCGAGACATAGTATAAGCAAAGACGAATTCGCACACTTTTTCTCATCTCTTGGTAGTAGATTAATTGCAGCTGGAGATTATAATGCCAAACACACCTTCTGGGGATCTAGACTTATTACACCCAGAGGTAGGCAGCTTTTAAACTCCATTTCGTCCGCTAAACTGGACGTGTTATCTACTGGCCAGCCTACTTACTGGCCTTCAGATCTGCAAAAACGTGCTGACTTAATTGACTTTGCGGTAACATGAAAATGCAGTTAAAATATTTACTTCGATAGTCAACACCGCTGTCAATGTTGCCACTCCCACTAAAATTTCTAAACTAAAAAATAATTCCTACAATCCATCGACCATTCGAAAACTCGTGTCTGATAAAAGGAAGGCCAGAGGAGAATGGCAGAAGCACCGCTCACCTAGGTTTCGGGAAAAACTAAAAGAATGTGAAAAACTCTTACAACAAGCACTTAGATTAAATGAAGAGCGAAACCTAAAAATATGCTTAAATAACCTGGATCCCACAGAGAGAACTGACTACAGCTTATGGAAAGCCACAAAAAACTTGAAAAGACCTATCGCCCGCGAATCTCCAATTCGCCTAGAAAATGGGACTTGGGCAAGATTAACAGAAGAAAAAGTAAACGCATTTGCCGAAAACCTTGAATCTGTATTTACCCCAAATCCCGACAGTTGTTCAACCTTTAATTGACGACATTGTTCCGAATCCAATACGCTTTTTTCTAAAAGAAATCGAAAGTTCTATAGCCTCGATGAAACTAAAAAAATCCCCGGGTAAAGATAGAATTACTCCAAACATGCTGAAGAAATTACCAACACCGGTCGTTAAACTATTGTTATTTATATTTAACAGCATTCTTCGAGTAGGGTACTTCCCGTCTGTATGGAAAGAATCTGAAATAGTAATGATTCCGAAACCTAAAAAAGGTCCAACGCAGGTAAAATCGTATAGACCCATCAGTCTTCTATCTATACTCTCGAAGCTGTTCGAAACAACATTACTAAGGAAGTTAACTCCCCATATTACAAGTAGCAATATTATCCCCGACCACCAATTCGGCTTCCGTAAGAACCACAGTACTATTGAGCAAGTGCACCGCATAGTCACAAACATTAGAATGGCATTCGAAAGGAAGGAATACTGCTCCGCGTTATTTATAGACATTTCCCAAGCATTTGACAGAGTCTGGCATCTTGGAATTCTATACAAAATTTGTGAAACTCTACCTAAAAACACTCATAAACTTTTTTGTAGTTATTTGTCAAATCGTACGTTTGTTGTTAAATCGAAAGACATACTTTCAAATTCGAGAATAATATTGGCTGGCGTCCCACAGGGTAGTATCTTAGGACCAATTCTGTACGTGTTATTTACTGCCGATATGCCCACAACCAATGAAACTCTAACCTCAACGTTTGCTGATGATACTGCTTTCATTAGCATACACAAGGATCCTCTGATTGCGTCGGAAAAACTACAATACCATGTATATCTTCTCGAAAATTGGCTGACAAAATGGAGAATATCGGTAAATGCAAGCAAGTGCATACACGTTACTTTTGCTCTAAGACGTGAACTTTGCCCCACGATAAAAATCTTTAATACTCAAGTTCCACAGAAAGATACCGTAAAATATCTCGGAATGCACCTGGATCGAAGACTTACCTGGAAGCAACACATTGATGCAAAAATCACGCAAATTAAACTAATACAAAGTCCTATTATATAAGACTGTAATAAAGCCAATCTGGACGTATGGCATACAGCTCTGGGGCACAGCTAGTGCCTCTAAAGTAAGTAAACTACAAAGAAGACAGTCGAGTATTCTTCGATCTATTACAGGTGCACCATGGTACATAAGGAACGCAAACATCCACAAGGACCTAAATATACTTACTGTTGAAGAAGAAATAAAGAAGCTTTGCCAAAAGTACTTAAACAAACTATCCGAGCACCCAAATAGCTTGGCCCGCCAACTCCTACTATTCGGAGAACACGATAGACTGCGCAGACGTGACACTCTTTCTATCATATAGTTTATTATTTTTGTCTTACTCTCTCATTATTTTCAGCTCTTGTCTGGCCAATTGAACGTCGCCCACTGTTGGAAGCTGCTTCTGTGAAGAAATCGAAAAGACTATTACTGTAGTCCGCGGGAAGATTAGTGAAGAAATCGATAAGACTATTACTGTAGTCCGCGGGATGATTAGATATAACTGTATCTTAACAAAGCAACATTATATACGTAAGACTATTTCTGTAGTCTGCGTCTCACTTAGATATAACTGTATCTAAGCTAATCTTAACTACCTACTCAATTAATTCACGGATATAACTGTATCCAGAAGCCCACAAAATAACACACATCTATATCATAAAAACAAGTTAAAAAGCACTAAGTTCGGCCGGGCCGAACTTTTAATACCCTCCACCATTTGCAACGAATTTGGAAATTTTTAAAAAATAAAATCCTTAAAAAATTCTGTTAAAATTTTAAAAAATAAGCCATTACCATATTCAAATTGGAAACTTGAAATAAACGGTAAATAATGTAGCTAAAATTATCAAAATATCGTATATAAGGAGGTGCCGTTAAATTGGAGCTGTGCAAAGACCTGGACCAGCATAGACAGTTTTCTGTCACAGGCTGTAGCATCCATTACGAACTTCAAATACCACATTTCAAACAATTTCTGTGGGTATTGTACCTAAAATCGTCAAAATACCGAATATGGGGAAGTACTGATATATGGGGCCTATACGAAGGCCTGGACCCTAACAGACAATTTTCTGTCACAGACTGTAGTATTCATTACGAACTTCAAATACCAATTTTCAAACAATTCCCGTGAATAATGTCGTTAAAATCACCAAAATACCGAATATCAGGAGGTACCGTTATATGGGGAATGGACTTGTACAGACAATTTTCTATCGTAGACTGAAGTATTCATTACGAACTTCAAATACCAATTTTCAAACAATTCCGGTGAATAATGTCGCTAAAATCATGAAAATACCGAATATAGGGAGGTACTGATATATGGGGCCTATACGAAGACCTGGACCCGCACAGAAACTTTTCTGTCACAGACTGTAGTTCCTATAACGAACTTCAAATACCAAATTTGAAACAATTCCCGTGAATAATGTCGTTAAATCATCAAAATACCGAATATCGGGAGGTACCGTTGTATGGGGGCTATACGAAGACATGGACTTGCACAGACAATTTTCTATCTTAGACTGTAGTATTCATTACGAACTTCAAATACCAATTTTGAAACAATTCCGGTGAATAATGTCGCTAAAATCATCAAAATACCGAATATAGGGAGGTACTGATATACGGGGCCTATACGAAGACCTGGACCCGCACAGACAATTTTCTGGCACAGACTGTATTTCCTATAACGAACTTCAAATAGCAAATTTGAAACAATTCGCGTGAATAAT